AATGAAAAAAAATCACATTTAAAAAATATTACTTTTTTCAAAAGTGAGGACGTGACTGTTTTGGGCGGTTTGCGGGCGTTTGAGTGAGCGTAACCTAAAGTTTTTTGAAAAGTCTATAACAATTTTTAAGAAGTATTCAAAAATGAAAAAATATTACATTTTTCAAAAGTGTGGGCGTGATAATTTTGTGCGGTTTTTGGGCGTTAGAGTCGACGTGCCAAAATTTGGGGAAAAAAATTGCGTCTCTGGAATGTCTGGAATCTACATGCGTAATCTCATCTTTCTCGCTTTTATAGTTCCAGAGATCCCGACGTTCATACGGACAGACCGACATGGCCAGTTCGACTCGGTTATTGATCCTGATCAAGAATATATATACTTTATATGGTCGGAAACGCTTCTTTTCAACGAATCAAGTATACCCTTTTACTCTACGAGTAACGTGTATAACACTACGCCCATCCACCACGGTGGGCGTGGCGGTTTGGGCGGCTAGAGTAGGAGTGGCAAACCCATTTTTGGCATACTGAAAGAAATTTACAAGACTAATACAAAATTAAATAAATATAAAAACAGTTTTCAAAAGTGTTGGCGTCTCAGTGTTGGTCGGTTCGTGGGCGTTAGGGTGGGCGTGGCAACATGGGTCAGCAAACTTGCGCTGCGTCTATGTCTCTGGAATCGGAATGCTTAATCTTAACAATTATACTTCCTAAGCTCTCGACGTTAATACGGACAAACAGACAGACATGTCCTGATCAACTCGGCTATTGATCCTTATCCTGTAACATACTTTTCAACGAATCTAGTATACCCTTTTACTCTACGAGTAACGGGTATAAAAATATTTGTTATAAAATATAGTTCTTAATTCACTATTACACTTTTTTACAAACTCAACTTACTTCGTCTTCATATTTCTTGTACCGAAAGATTCGCAGATTTTGATTAGACTTCCATCAAAAAACCTTGGTTTAAGATAAATTTGATTGATTTTGCCAAAGAGATTACCAGCAAATGATACTGGCACCTAATGAAGGATAGAGCAGAGGATTATGATTTCGACTATTATTTGATTACCAGGAAAATTTAATTAGCTTTTATCGTACAGGATTGTTGTGAAGGTAAAAAAAATAGATGGAAAGGAAGCAAGGACAAAACGAATCCTTTACCGACTATGTCTTTCACACGCATAACTCACATTCGCTAAGGATGAATGCTAACGCGAACACAACGGTGTAGTCAGACCGGGGCAACATGCCGGAGGGACACAACAAGGGACACAACAAGAGACACACGCAAAATAAAAAATGTTATTACAGAGAGGAACATTGAAGGCTCAAATAAAAAGTCATGCGCACTGTGTCCCAAACTAAAGTGAACAGGGAAGAATAAATCTGTTAATTCACGTACTATCAAAGATGCTGCACATTGACAGTTTATAAAGTCGACTTCCGGAAACTTTTTATATTTCCGTAATCGATTTAAAATACTAATTTTGGATAATACCAATGAAACCTATAAGAAGGGAGTTTACAGTACCTGGCAGACCGCTATATCGCTACTTTAAAAAAAACTTAGCTATGTTAAGCCAGGTCAGGTATTGTCTGCAGCTTGCAAAACTGCGAAAGGTAGACAAAAGTCAGTTTTGCTCTAGCCAGGCCAAAATACATGGGATATGTTGAAGGAGGATGACGCACGGACTGTTCCCAGACTGCAGCCTCTCTTCACGATTGTCTTAAAAAAATCGAATCAAAATAGCAAGGCCAGAGCCGTAGGGCCGGAAGGGACGGGAAAATACTTGAATGACATCCATCTCTTATCTCCCTTCTCCAAGGATAACCTGCGAAACCCACTGCTGCCAGCAATTTCAAGCTGTTCCAAAGAATATTCCAAGATGGGGGAGTCCAACGCCTCCGAAAACGTGGCTAACACTGTTGTGAACCACACTCTTAATTTCATCGCAATGGTGCTATTGGTCCTAGTGATCCTAAAAATAATGAAGATGTACATTCAAATATTTTGGGTCGAATGACGCAATATATACCACCTCCAACTCTCATCATATAAACTTTGACGTTCATATGGACGGCCAGACAGACGGACATGGACAGACGGACCTAGCCTTCCTGATCTGGAATACATATACTTTATAGGGCCAGAAACGCTTCCTAACTAAACATCCTTTAGTAACTAAAGTATTAGACTGAATTTTATTAAACTGCGTTCAGCAGAAACACCGGTGCTGAAAATTAATTTTAAAATCAATCTTCAATCTTGAATGATTCAGAGACATAGGCGCAGCGCAAGGTTTTTTTCAAATGTTGCCGCGCCCACTATTATAATATTATTATAATATATAATATTATATTTGTATTATTATATAATATTTTTCAGTTTTGTATTGGTTATTATATTATAATAGGTTGGAAAATATCTCCCTTCCGCTTTTTTGCTCTTTATTCAATGCCTTATAAAAAGTGTTAAAGTGATCGGATTTAGTTCAAATATGCGCCGTTTTGTTCGATAATCTGTTTCCATCTAGATGGCAACTTCATAATACCTCCCTCGTAGAAGCCCCCCTCCTTATTTGCGAAGAACTCGGACAGCCACTTTTCACAAGCCTCTTTTGAGTTCAACTTTACACCACCAAGGGCATTCGCAATGGACAGGAACAGGTGGTAATCACTTGGCGCTATGTCCGGGCTATATGGTGGATGCGATAAAACCTCCCATCCGAGCTCCCTTAGCTTCTGACGAGTCATCAACGAAGTGTGTGGTCTGGCGTTGTCCTGGTGGAAAGCTACACCCTTCCTGTTGGCTAATTCTGGACGCTTCTGGTCGATCGCCTGCTTCAAGCGATCCAGTTGTTCGCAGTAGATGGTAGAATTAAGCGTCTGGCCATATGGGAGCAGCTCATAGTGGATGATTCCCTTCCAATCCCACCAAACACACAGCAAAACCTTCCTGGCCGTCAATCCCGGCTTGGCCACTGTTTGGGACGATTCACCGGCCTTCGACCAAGACCGTTTTCGCTTGATATTGTCGTATGTGATCCATTTTTCGTCGCCAGTCACCATCCGCTTCAAGAATGGGTCGAGTTCGTTCCGTTTCAGCAGCATATCGCAGGCGTTGATTCGGTCCAGAAGGTTTTTTTTGTCAAATCATGCGGCACCCAAACATCAAGTTTTTTTTTGTATCCAGCCTTCTGCAGATGGTTTAAATGGTTTGGTGACTAACTCCCATCTCCTGGGAGATGCCACATGCCGGTCTAACTCGATGTATTCCATGATTTGATCGGTATTTGTCGTCACAGGTCTTCCGCCGGCTGGCTTACCCATGGTGTCGTTTTCACCGGCTCTGAATCGTCGAAACCATTGCTCCGCGGTTCGAAGTGATAGAGTACCATCCCCCAAAACACCATTAATCTCACGGAACGTTTCTCTGGCGGATTTGCCTTTAACGAAGGAAAACTTTAAAATAGCGCGAATTTCGGCGTTAGTGAACTCCATGTCTACACGTCTATAACTGTTGAACGCAATATCCAAACTAATCATGCATAGCGTCGTTTTGTAGGTTATGTCAAGACCTTTCAAATGATGTATAGTATTGCCAGATACGAGCTCTGTAGCGCTTTGTACATAGCCGCGAAATTCAAAAGACAAAAAGACGGAAGGGAGATATTTGCCAAACTAATAGATGTAACTTAAGTTTCAGGACACATTCTGAGCTATTCCACTTTTTGTGTTTAATTTTTTTTAACAGCAGCCACTAGCTGAATTCGCTTTCATCGATGGATGCGGCACAGTGAAGGTGAGTGATAAATAAAATTATTTATTAGACCTTATAGAAATATCCAAGCTGCGCGCGGTAATCAAATCAAGATTCTAGCTTTCTAGCTCATCTTTCTAGCTTTTATAGTTCCTGAGATCCTGATGTTCACGAACGAACAGGCGGACATGGCCAGATCGACTCGGCAATTGATCCTGATCAAGAGTAAGGGGATAAACAGAAATAATTTACTTACATCATGTAACATGTCTGTGCGACCTATTATGGAGTTGGAAACTTCGCGTCTATTTTGTAATTATGTACATGTTTTATGTTTATCATTAGTGTTGATGTAGTATTCTTCTTATGCCAAGGGACAGGATTTTAGAGACGCCTACGCCGTTTAATTCTGATTTAAGCCGCTGACACGCCCAATCAAACGAACCACGAACCGCCCAAAAATACCGCGACTACACTTTTGATCATTTTTACAATTTTTAAATGGTAATTATGTTGCCAATTTCCTTCGATATTTCAAAATAGCTTAGTAACGTGCATGTTATAGTCGAGGAACTCGTCTAAAGCGTTTTGAAAATATTATTAACCGGCTAACCGAAGCTGACTTCTTTTATTTCTTTAAGTATTGTTTTAATTTTAAATTGCTGACAAAAATTTGTCCAGGCCTACAAACCAAAAAAAAAATGTCACACCTAAAACATTAAAAATGTAATTTTTTTCTTCGTTTTCTTGCCAATTTCTATCGCAACAACATTTTAAAATGTCTTCCTAACTCTCCCACTCTCCCTAAAAGTCCTATTAGTTTTTAAATTATATTATTGACCGGCTAATATTTTGAATTGCAGATTGGAATATGTTTATCAAGCCAATACCTACCGATACGCTTAAACAAATTTGTCTTTTTTAATGGGTCATTTTAAATGGTGCAACAAATTATAACCAAATAAGGGTGTGAAATGCATCCAAATGTAGACATATTCGTTAAAAATATGCTAATTAGAATACAATATACCAATTAGTTATACAATTTTTAAGAAATTCAAGCAATTGCCAAATTGCGAACCGCAGATGCAACCCCGTCAACTTAAATTATTGAAACGTAACCTAAACACGTTGTATGCATATATTGCTGTAACACCGGTCTCTCACTGTGACGTTAAACAGAGCCAGAAAAAGCAAGCTCAATGTTCAGTTTGTTTCAGTTAACTCGCGGAGAAGAAACTTCGTCGGGGCAAGAGCTTAAACTTTAAAGAAAAGTGAAAAGTCGTGTTGCTTGTTGGCTTGTTTTGGTTTTTCGGGCTAAGTGTCAATGTGCTAATGAGATAGATTGGATGATGTGCCGCATTCGAAACACCCATTTTATTCTTCTCCAATTGCATACTGTTTTATACATAGCACAATGCTATTAACTGTTATGATTAAATATTTGCATTTTGAAATATATTAAAATGGGAGTTTAAAAGTTCGTTTACTCTGGTGAAAGTGTGCTAACGGTTTTGTATGCCTTCAAATACTGCCGTGACGAAACACAGTCTCAGCAATAGCAATACTGCTGGGCCTCAGAAAACTTATCTCACTGCAAGTCATATGCATAGGGTATTAAGTGCAACACAATATATTTAAAAATTAACATGCGGCTTTAATGATTTGAGTATTTGTGTACGTAAAGCGTGTTCTACTATTCATAAACTTTTGACTCCCTTTATACACCTAGTACGAATAACCCGAATAAAAGAATAAAGGAAAAGATTTTGGATTATGATTCCATATAATTTTATGAAATTATACAATAACTGCAATCGATTCGGTAAAAGATATTTAGATGAAATGTAATTTTTACGTTCTGCGCCGATGTTTGTAAGATAATGGTACATTTTTATTATTATAATAACTCATTAATTTATATTTCAAGGATAAAAGCAGTGTATTACACTTCGGCAACTCGAACGAAGTTTTCTTTATTAATATTTATTTCATGCAAGAAACAAGAAGGAAGCTAACGGTGTAAAACCAAAACACATATGTTTACTAGATTATAAGTACACAATATTGATCGGATCCCTCTTCTTTTATCTTTTATCGCATCTTCTTTGTGTAAAATATAAAATATATATAAACGCTGTAAATGAATATGGTCAATATGGCAAAAAAAAAGGAATCCAAAACTGTCACTGAAACTGATATCTGAAACTCTTTCTGTTACTCTTGTTTTCTTTTGGAAATATATGTTACAATAGTCAGATATATTATATTATTAGCTCTGAACACTTCAAAAAGTACTAGCCGAGTCGATCGATACATATGTATATCCGTCTGTCAGGCCGTCTGTGCGACCGTGTGAGGTGAAATTTATCATGCAAGTTGTGTGACACCTACGCATTGCGAGACTGTGTCAAAATGTTCCTCCCGAACGGCCAGGTATACACATAGTTATGTATTACACCTTTTTCGGTTGGCAAAAAGGTTACAGGGTGCTTTGCGTTAGGCAAAATTTACGAAGTTGGACTGGATTGGAGAGGAAAACAAATGTTTTTATTTAAGATTTTTTTTTTCATATGAACCTCTACAATGAATGTCAATAACCAAATAAGGCAGAACAAGTTTTTGGTTGATCGTAATTTCAACGTAAAAAATGTATATAACATTTATATCTTTAACTAATGTTTTTAAAAGCCAATTATAGAAAAACTGTTTCTGGTTCAGTAAATTCTTTAAGCCCGACCGTCATTTTGTAATAAACCATTTTTGTTGGTCCCGTCGATTTAATTATACCAGTTAGTTGTAGAAATTTTACAATTCTACAAAACTTATACAAGAGTAGAAGTTGAACAATATGTAACAGGAAATGGGAAAATAAAGTATATATATTTTTGATCAACCTTCACTTTCTCTCTTGTTATACGCGATAGTCGTGGAGTAAAAGGGTACACTAGATTCGTTGAAAAGTATGTCACAGGTGGAAGGAATCATTTCCGACCCTATAAAGTATATATGAATATATATACGTATTCTTATGTAACAGGTAGAAGGAAGCTTTTCCGACTATAAAATGTATATATATTCTTAATTAGGAACTATAAACGCTGGAAAGTTGAGATAAAACATCCAGATTCCCCAGACATAGACGCAGTTTGTTTACTGATGTTGCCACGCCCACACTTTTAAAAAATATTTTGATATTTATAAACGTTACTCGCACAGTAAAAGGGTTATACTAGATTCGTTGAGAAGTATGCAACGGGTAGAAGGAAGCGTTTCAGGCTATATAAATTATCTTTCCGTCTGTCTGTCCGTAGGTATAAACATCGAGATCTTAGGGACTGGAAGATAGTTGAGAATATGCTTTTGATGATGTTGCCACGCCCACTCTAACACCCACTAGCCGCGCAAAACTGTCACTCCCACACTTTTGAAAGATGTGTTGATATTTTTCCATTTTTTGATTAGTCTTGTAAGCTTCTATCAATTTGCCACACAATCGTTTTGCCACGCCCACTCTAAAGCCCAGAAACTGTTCAACTCTGTCTCGCCCACACTTTTAAAAAATGTTTTGATATATTTTCATCAGCCTTGTTCTATTAATTTACCTAAAAACTTTTTCTCACGCCCACACTTCTTCCGATCTTCCCAATTTGTACGGATATTACAGAAAATGTTAAAATTGCTCGTTCGCACTTTCACTATGATGACTTTTTAAGACAAATTCGATCGGTTAAGCTCAATTGATGCACCTACTGATTCATATACATACTTTACTTTACAAATTATTCTTAACTAATTACATTTTGAATTTCCCAAAGTAAATAAATAAAGAAATCTTAATTGTTAAATCAAAATTAGTAAGAAATATCCCTCTCGCCAAAGGAGCAAGTTTAATCTGTTGTTCCTTAACCAATATGGGGCTAGGACGTCTTAAAAAGTTTACTTTTGTATTACATTGCTCCGTACAAAAACTACCTGGCATGTTGCAAAAATAAGTTCTAAAACAATTTAAAACTTCCCATCATCTAAATAATGTTTCTGCCGTTTCTAACATGGAATTTCGCTCACCTGTTTGCTGATTCACTCCAATATTGACTATGTTTCAGTTCAATCTGGATACTTCAAGGGATGCTACCTCGTTAGGTATCTGAATTCCGCCAAGTTACTCGACTACATTTTCCCTTTTCTTCTGCATATTTTCCGCTCATATCCATGCGTTCTATAAAATCCGGTACTTTTCTTTTCCGAAATAGCCTGTTTCGTAATCTCAACTAAAATAAAGATTTTAAGAAATTGTATGAAGCTAACATTAATAGCATTACTTTAAGTATTCAATTTATATTTCGCAAACAATATTGGTCTATTAAACTTATATTTAAGTTTAACTTTATCTATGAAATTGAAACAAATTATTTTATAACTTAAACAACTAAATAATAGACTAATGTTTTAAAACTCTAAATATTTGATTACAAACAAAATTAGAATTCTTAAAAATCTCTAAAAATTCGTTTCGACCTTAAATCTTGGCGTTTAATTATTGTTTGAAACAATGATATATTCGATAAACGCCACTTCTATTCATCCTCAATTCCATGCTTTAAAAAGTTATAAAAAATTTAAAATTAATATTAGTTTCTCCTCAAAACAAATACTTTCCTTGTAGAGCATAGTCTATTTAAGATATCCAGAATTGTGCAAAATCGATTAGTTGACGCCCACACTTCTTTTTTAATTTGTCGTGCCAATTTTAATATATCAAAAACATTTTAGCCACGCACACTTAAACGCCCGCAAATTTTAAAAACATGTCACTCTCATATTTTTCTGGATACCTGTTACTTAGCTAGTGTTATTGCAAACAAGAAATTGTGTTAGGGGGTTCGTAGAAAAAAGTTTTTTTGAAAATCAATAAAAATAACACAATAAAGTTTTAAGAGTGTCGTATTAAAAATAAAGTCGCGTTCATCGACTATCAGATAGTGGTAGTGCAAATGAGAAATGTCAACATTTTCTGGAATATCGACAGATATTGGAGAGAGTATAAGAAATTAAAAAATAAATGTACAATTTTTTAAAGAAATATCAAAAATTTTTGTGGAGTGTGGAGAAATGTTTTTTGGCAAACTTATAGAAATTTACAAATTATATACAAAAATGAAAAATATCAACAAGTGAGGGTTGACAGTTTTGGTCGGTTTGTGGGCGTTACAGTGGACGTGGTAAAAAGTTTTTCTGCTAATCGTTAGAAATTTACCAATCTAACAAAAATAATGACAAAATATTTAAGCATTTTTCGAAAGTGTGGGCAGTTCTCCGCGGTTTGTGCAAAACAGGCACGCGCAGACTTTTGAAAATTATTTTAATTTTTTTTCATTTTATTATTGTTTGTCTCCATTTCTACCGATATGTCGGAAAAATGTTAAAATTTCTCTTTCGCACTTCCACTAACTGAGAAACGGGTATATGTTAGTCATCATTGTTTTTAATGTAATAAGCTGTTCTTATTTGGTACACACCATGTTTTCTTTTAAAATATAATTACTGCAGGGGTATTTAAGATTCGGCTTGGCGAAGCTAGCTTCTTTACTTTCTTTTTAATTATATGTAAACTTAAAACAGTAGTTGCAGCCTTGCTTTCTCTAGGTAAGACTTCTGCAATTTACCAAGGCCCAATGTCGCGTTTTCTTCTTTTGTACATTTCGGCAACGGACTTAAAATGTTACACAAGCGGCAGTTCCTTTAACGCCAATTAGTAGCGATGAGAGATTCTTTTAGCTCCGGTGATATAAGCAGCTATGACAAAGTTGATTCAATAATGCGTATCGGTACCGTGGAAAACATGAATAATGAATTTGAATGCTAACAATCAAAACTCTAAATATTGAATCGCATGTACATGCTGAAGAGGAACAGATGACGTGTTCCGATTTTAAGAACTAAATATAGTAAGTTATTTCGATAAGGCATTTTATTGCCTCATCCTGCTCTTCTATACTCTGCTTTAACGATCGTAAATAGCACAATCCCGTGAAATGTCCCATGTTTTTAAATCTAGCTTAAAGTCTATGGAACAAGAAAGCGAAACGAATGTCTGCAAAAAAACAATAACATCGAGCATCATCCAGCTCCATTCGGAGCTCGTGCACAACAGTCGCTACAAAGCGGCTAGCCATCACCATCTCCATGCAGTATAAATGTGATCAAGTTGTTCGCACCCATCCTAATATCAAGCAGAACTTGAAGGCTTCTAACTGCGGAAGAAGCCGCAGACTGTGATTTCGCGCCCGTGTCAGCGCGGTTTTGCTTTAACAAAAAAAAAAACATATAAATGTAACGGCAAAACGTTTTTGGTATACCTACAGAAACTGACAAATAATGAAGGGACAAATAATAAATCGAAAAAAATCAAAACATTTTTCAAAAGAGTGGGCGTGGTAGTGGGCGTGGTAAAAATAAACGTTTTATGTTTTCCAATGCATTACCGAGAATCAGAAGATTTTAATAATGACGTGTATAGGGATTACTACTTTAAAAAATAAAAAGAAGGGTTGTATTTCTTCAAAACAGAATTTTTAATTGTGATATGCTCTTTACAGAAAGGATATATGAACTCCGACTTGGCAAAGATAGGTGTATTTTTTAAAAATACTTACAATTTTATAAATAATTTCAATAATTTCAAATAATGACAAATACAATTAAATTTGTTAAGTATAAATACTTATTTGCTATATGCTCATAAATGTCATTCTTGAACCTTTGCAAATAAAGTTTTAATTTTTTTCAGCAATTATGTTGTAAAGGGGTCTTTTCAACACAGGCGATGTGGCTACTATCGCTAAGAGTAAAGTAGTTTTATAGAATCAGAATTTTGTCTCTGAGTAGTATAACAAGATAGAACCCTATAGTCGAGTTCCCCGCAATAGAAAAAATGTACAAGACTAATTCAAAAACGAAAAAATATCAAAACATTTTTCAAACGTGTGGGTGTTGCAGTTTTGGGCGGTTTGTGGGCGTTAGAGTGGGAATGGCAACAACATTTAAGAAACTTGAATTTTATTTCAATGTCTTTGGTGACAGCTTTGGATGGTTTGTGGCCGTAAAATCAAATATTTTTTGTCTTCACCACGTTTATTTGATATATTCTTTGTACGTTTGCATACGTTTTGTACGATTGAATATTTTGCAAAAGAGCATTGTAGTCAAGAAGACTGATCAATAAGGTATTTGTAGCCATTTTCGTTGGTTTCCATAGCGTATAGCATAGCATAGTATAGTTGACCATCTTTTGATTTGAAAATTTTTCTATTTATTTATTTATATCACATTTATGAAATTTTTGTCAAATTCTCACTCGTAAAGATAAAAGGCTATGACAACTATGGCTTTTTAAAGTTATTTTCTGTTCACGTGTTACTTTTGTATATATCTTAATGCATTCAGGAAAATGTATAATGATCTCTTAGAGTAAAGCCGTTTTTAGCATTAGTATGAGTAGTATAACAAATGAAATTAATGAGTAGGAAGTATGGGTATTAAAAGGGTCTTCGTTTTGGGCGAACATCTTTTTATTACCCAAATGTTTGTTGCTTGTGTTTTAGAGGTAGTCCAGTCTACTACCTGTTGACTTTTTGCTGACACTGTACGACATTAAAAGTTAATTTAAATGGAATCGCATCAATTATATATACATTATGTAATTTTGAGCCGTGTACTATACGGTCGATTAAAAGACTTAAATAGCAAGCTAAATAGATAAAAAGTCTATTAGGCTGAAGCCCACGTACTGACCTGACGTCGCGACAAATGGTTTAAAATAAAAAAGCCGGTGTAGAACCTAAGTAGTCCAAGTCCGACACCCACTAGATTAAAATAAACTTCTTTTTTAGCAACATGCTTTCAAAAATTGCATTGTTTCTTATTATCTGGAGTTGCGGCACATTGGCTGCGGACATCCTAATGGCTACACAAGGTAAGAATAGTTTAAGACTATATACATTCTGTTAGTCAATAAGAAATGATAAGGTTTGACTTTTGAGATACCTACAACTTAGTTTATTAGTAAAAAATCTAAAAAACCTTTAAATTGCTTACCCAATTATATTAAATGTTAAATTTTTTAAACTTTTATATATTCACTTTTAATTTATATGCGTCTTTAATGAGTTATTACTTTCGAATGCCATGCCATTTTAGGCTACCAAAAACAGGTGATTTTACAGTTGATTTTGATATAATCTCATCATGTCATAAATAATATTAAGTGTTTCCTTAAACTAAACTATGAAACTTTATTCTCTTAGATTGATATATACCAAGGGTGACCATACCACCGTATTTTAAGCTTATATACAATGATATGGACAATACATAAAACAAAATTAATTCTTCATTTCATTTTGAGTGTTCTTTAAGTTGGGCAAGAACAATGCCATTGTCCAAAGATCAAAATTGGTAGACTAAGGAGTATTAATTTTTGATGCCGGCAAAATATTTTCCACCTCATAGACAAATTTTTTTTGTATTACCCGTTACTCGTGGAGTAAAAGTATATAAAGTATATATATTCTCGATCAGGATAAATAGCCGAGTCTATCTGGCCATGTCCATCTGTCTGGCCGTCCGTATAAACGTCGAGATCTCAGGAGCTATAAAAGCTAGAAAGTTAAGATCAGGCATGCAGATTCCATAGACATAGACGCTGATTCTGCGCAAGCTTGTTTATTATTTTGTTGATGTTATTTTTTTAACGGCCACAACCGCCCAAAACTACCACGACCAAACTTTTGAAAAATGTTTTGATGTTTCCAATTTTTTAATTGGAAATTTCTATTAATTTGCCCTAAAACTTTTTGCCACGCTCACAAACTGCACAAAACTTTTACCCCACACTTTGTAAAAAATGTTACAATTTTTAAATTGTATTACTTTTTTCGCAATTTATACCGATATTCCAGAAAATCTTGAAATTTTTCGTTAGCACTTCCACTGTTATTTGATATCCAGCGAACTGGACCATTCTGTCATTTTTGTTTATTTAAACCAGTGAAAGTGACATATCCGAAACAATATATAGTGCATATTCAAACTCAACAGTCGAGTCAACGAGCTTTAGAATTTCTGCATACAACGAAAGTCTTCGTTGGTCTAGTTATTCAAAACATTATACAACGTTTATTTACTTCTAAACTTTACTTTATCTAATTTTGTAAATAAAAGTGATTTAAAAACATAAGTATACTAAATATTGATTGTCATTAGTTATACTCATATTGTAGATACTATACGAGATACGTTTCAAAAGCGTCTAACAGTTATAAGGAAGCGTTTTCCCTATAAAGTTTACATATTCTATATCAGTATGACGAGCAGAGTTGATATAGCCATGTTCGCCTGTTCGTCAGTTTGATCTGTCTGTCCGTATGAGCGCTGTGATTTGGGAACTGTAAAAGCTAGAAAGTTCAGGTTTTACTGACGCCTACGCTCTGCAGTTATAAAAACTGTTAATTTAAATTAAATTTTTTTAAGAAAAAAGATAGAATGCTATTGTCGAGTTCCCTTTACTCAGCTAGTGCTAGTGGAAGTGCTAACGAGAAATTTAAAAATTTTCTGTAATATCGGTAGAAATTGGGGAAAAAATAATTCAAGCAAAAACAATTTTTAAAAGTGCGGGTGTGAGAGTTTTGTGCGATTTGTGGACGTCAGAGTGGATGTGTCAAAAAGTTTTATGAGAAAAAATATCACATTTTTCAAAAGTGTAGGCGTGACAGTTTTGGGCGTTGGTTTGGGCGTGACAAAATTTTTTTTTGCAAATCTATAGAAATATACAATACATAAAAAAAAACTAAAAAAAATATCGCATTTTTCAAAGGTGTGGCCGTGACGGTTTAGTGCGATTTGTAGGCGTTAGAGTGGGCGTGGCAACATTTGGAAATAAACTTGCGCTGCGTCTAAGTCTCTGAAAGCTGCATGCTTAATGTCTAGGTTTTGTAGTTCCTGAGATCGATGCGTTCATACGGACAGACGGACGAACAGACGTAATGGCCAGATCGACTCGGCTATTGATCCTGATGAAGGATATATATACTTCATATAATCGGAAACGTTTTCTTCTGCCTGTTACATACTTTTCAACGAAGCTAGTATACCATTTTACTCTACGAGTAACGGGTATAATAAAACATGTTTTCGAGAGCTTCTCTCTCTTCTCATTAAACAATGAATACCCTTATTTTTTCACCTTGAGCGTATAATCTAAGATAAACCTTACTCGTGTACAAATTAAAAATATATTTTTTAAAATTTTCAGGCGGAACGAAGTCACACAAGATACCATTCTGGGAGTTAGCTAAGGGATTAATATCCAGGTATATATGAAATAAGAAATTATTTAAAATTTGTTTGTATCCTATAATGTAAAAAGAATTTTTTTCTTTTGGGACGTTTGTTTTCTTTAAAACTCGATTAGCGGTATTTAAGTGTGATGTCAGTTACTCGTATTTTTAAAGGGTATACTAGATTCGTTGAAAAGTATGTAACAGGTAGAAGGAAGCGTTTCCGACTATATAAGGTATATATATTCTTGATCAATAGCCGAGTCGATCTGGCCATGTCCGTCCGTCTGTAAGTCCGTCCGAATAAACGTCGAGATCTCAGGACAGTCTCACAAACTGCCACGCTTACACTTTTGCAAAATGTTTGGAGATTTTTTCAATTGTTTTAATAGTCTTGTAAATTTCTATCGATTTGAAAAAAACAACAAAAATTTGCAAACTTATGTGAAATTTTATTTTATTTAACTTTTTTCCCGCAAAATTCTACCGAAAATGTTAAAATTTCTCGGTCGCACTTGCACTACCTAAGTAACGGAACTCGACTATAGGATTCTCCCTTATTTTTTTATGTACATTACATTTCATTTATTCATTTTATTATGTACATTAGGACAGCATAAGTTTCCGTATCATTAGCAAATTTAGAATTTAAAAATATTATTAATAATGTGCTACTTACTTGCAAAATACTAACCTATATTTTAAAGCCGTTCTTAGACAACAGAAATCACTGACGATATTAAAAATTCAAAATTGAAAATGCAAGTAATGAGAAACGCAACAATAATGCTACGCACTTTTTTGTATGGTTTTTTTTCGATTTCGTTAATTGCGTTTTGTAAGAACCGTTTGTTCAAATTTGATTGCCCTTCTTACTATGGCTGTAAAAATATAGCGTCAGGCAATGTAGGAAATCATATGATGTACACATTTTAGAGAAAATATTACGTATATATTATATATTAAATCCTCAATCATTCCCAATAGGTGCAAATGTAGATATATTAACAAATTTATATATAAAAATTTAACATTCACAAATTTAAAAAAAGCACATTAATCAAAATATATTATAAAATTATATTATATTATAATTGAAAAAGATGCTAGTAATTCTACAGAAACTGTGTGTAGCTAAAACATAGTTACGACTTGTAATTGTGATTGAGAAATTTAGGCTTCTTTTTTTTTATTTTCATTTTTCAAAAACCGTTTGTTCAAATAGCTTGCCCTTCTTGGCAATGTAGGAAATCAAAATGGACACATTTTAGAGAAAATATTTCACATATGTATATTATATATGAAATCCTAAATCATTCCTAAAAGGTACATATGTACATGTCGGAGACTAAGTTGTTCTAAAGTATTATTATTTTAATATAACCGAAATTGTTATTATTAAGTCATGTTTAGAATAAAGTGCTGGGCACATTTATCAAGAGAGCGAGCCGTTATTGAGAGAGCATCGTTTGTAGGTATACTCAAATGAACATGTGGTTGTAGCTTTGTATAGTTTCGTATCAACGAAATGAGTATGATGAAATACTTAAGAAGTGGCGAAATCGAAGTAAAGCTTTGAGAGAGAGCGTCGCTCACAGAACACACAGGCGACTTGCTGGGCCTATCAATATGGACGCAGAAGAAGAAAAAGAAAACCGAACCCAAAACCCGTCATCAGAAGTTGGATCGGCCTAATCCCAAGATCTCTCGAACGATTAGTGGCGTGCATTATTTAAATCTCAAAACAAAACTTTTATGGAGTTATTTTAATCTATGCAGACCTCCAAAATGAAGGCGCAACTCAACAAAGTGACTCTACCGAAGTTTAAACGAAGTTGCAAATGCGGACGCAGCTGCATGGCGCAAAATAATTAATGCAAAAATAGGTTGGATGGAAGTAACCAGTAACAGACAAGTAACAGCATTACTATTAAAGTGGAAAGAAATTAACAATGAAGAAATTGCGGTATCGTTCGTCCAGTTTTCCCTATTAAAAGACAAATTATCAGATAAGTTCATGGGAAAAAGAATTGATAATAACTGTATATTGATAATAAGAGCGAGTTTGTTTTATATAAAATTCATACCGTCAATACAGTGACTAGCATTGCCTATATGAATTATATGGATTTCATAAATAGAGATAGTAAACTGGGTCAGACCGACAAGACTGAACTTGCAGAAATATTGAAATCCTATGCACCAAAATTTATAAATGGTATGTCAAGTAACCGTGTTACCACAGGTTAATTAGAGATCCGTTTGATTGATGCCAATAAAACCGTAGTGAGGCGTCCATATAGGTTAAGTATTGAAGAAAAGTTGTTGGTAATAAATAAATTCAGGAACTTTTAGCTTCAAATGTTATACGCCTAAGTAGTTCCCCGTTTGCGAGTCCAATGTTGTTGGTAAAGAAAATGGATGGCAGTGATCGTTTGTGCATTGATTACCGCGAACTAAACTCTTCTTTTCCCTTGATATCAGACCAAATTGATAGAGTGTGTGGAAGCAAGTATTTTACAAGCCTCGATATGGCGAGCGGTTTCTATCAGATACCAATAAAGCCAGAATCGATAGAACGCACAGCCTTCGTCACAAAAGAAGGACAATATGAGTTCGCAGCCATGCCCTTTGGCTTAAAGAACGCTTCATCTGTGTTTCAGCGAGCCATAATGAAAGCTTTAGGTGAGATGGCGTACTCATATGCTGTAGTCTATAAAGATCATGTTCTGATCGTAGCTGGAACAAAGGGGGCGGCTTTTGTTAGATTAAAAGATGTGCTGCAAAAGTTATCTAGTGTGGGATTTTCGTTTAACATGAGCAAGTGCTCATTTCTGAAGACGAGCGTTAAGTATCTTGGCTACAAAATTGAGAATGGCGAAATAAGACCAAATCCACCCAAAATTCAAGCATTGGCTGCATTGTCGCCGCCACAAGCAGTTACACAACTGAGACAGTTCATTGGCTTTTCGTAATTTTTCCGACAATTTGTTCCACGCTTTTACGAGCTTATGAAGCCATTATACTTACTTACATCATAAAATAGCCAATTTGAATAGCATGACAGACATGAGCAGGTGCGCCAAGAGAAAATATCAACTCTAGTCAGTGACTCCGTAATAATCATTTATGACCCCAAGTACCGGGTTGAACTGCACACTGATGCTAGCGCAGACGGTGCCATATTGATGCACAAAATTGATGGTAAGCCAAGAGTCAAAGAGTATTATAGTAAGAGCACTACAGATATAGAGTCAACGTATCACTCTTATGATTTGAAACACTTGCTGTATACAATGGAGTAAAACATTTCCGCCGGTATCTACATGGCCGCCCATTTGTGGTTTATACAGACTGCAATAAGGTAGATCGTATAAGTTTGAGATTGAGTATAGAAAAGAACAGAGTATGGCACATGTAGAGTTTCTGTCTAGGAATCCACTACCAGATGCTAAACGCTCTGACGTCACTAAGGTATCTGAAGTTCGTGTAGAACTGATAACTGTTTGCTTGCGGAACAGCATAGGGATGAAGAAATTTCTGAAACTGCAAAATAACGAATTGCAACACGAAATAGCAAAAACGTACGAACTAAGATCCGAAATAGGCCGAAATATCCCTAAGGCCGAAATAGGTCCCTACGAGTAATACTACGAGCATTCATGTGATCCATAATAAACCATGTCCATGAAGCTATTATGCACTTGGGATGGGAAAAGACCTTGGATAAGGTATACACGCAGTATTGGTTTCAAAATATGTCCAAATATGTGCGAAAGTTTGTAGAGAATAGCATTAAATCGGTATACATATTACTGCAACGGGTGCTAGTCGCGCAAACGGCCAGGTCGAGCGCGTAGCACTCTGAAGGCTATGCTAACAGCTGTAGAGACGAAGGTTCAATTGGCTATGAATTGCACGGCTAATCGAGTCACAAAAATTAGTCCTTTGGAATTGGCAAGGAAGCTTGACCAATGGGCATGATGCCATTAATAGAAGAAGAAAAGGTTGATATAGAATGTGTTAGGTATTCGACCTTGCAAAACATAACAAGAAATTCTGAATATGATTAGCATAGATTTGATGAAAATAAAGGCAAAATAGTACGATATGATGTAGACGACAATGTCTGGCTCAATAACGAAGAACGGCACCAAACCCGAAGTTTAGGAGTCCATTTGTAATAACGGAAAAGCTTGATGGTGACCGATGTATATGTTGAGATCTTTGACGAGCAAAAGAACGTGTAAGTATGTCCACGAGAAGTTAAGGTCGATGTCTGTTAAGGTAGATGCAGACCAATGCGAGAGGTCGCCGACTGAGGCACTCGGAGATACCATAGACTCTGGTTCACTACAGCTACAGCTACACCATAGAGTTATCTCCGCACTTACTATGTGGCGAGGGCTATGTGGGACCAGAGGGACCATGACGCATTCTGATGCGTGAGAACGTTGCAAGAAGTGCAGCAAGAGCATAAGAGAGAGTGAATTGATAGAGAGTTGAAGAGAGAGAGAGAGAGAGAGAGAGATTGGTGGCAAAAGATGCGTTACTGTTTGAAAAAAAGAAATAAAATCAGAAAATATGAATTAAGAGCTTGAGCAAGGCAAGGGATGCCGATATGTTGTTTTTATGAAATTGAATAAAAATTAAAGAAATTATTATGTTGAGTTAAAAAATAAATAAAACGAATGGAGAAAGAAAACGTTATGTTATATGAAAGGAACTATGTAATGCGACAAAACACACGAGGACGTGTGCATGTCAGGAAGGCCGTGTCGGAGATTAAGTTGTTCTAAAGAATTATTATTTGAATATTAAGTCATGTTAAGAATAAAGTGATGGGCACATTTATCAAAAAGAGCGTGCCGTTATTGAGAGAGCATCGTTTGTAGGTATAATCAAATGAGCATGGCGTCTGTGGTTGTAGCTTTGTAGAGTTTCGTGTCAACGGAGGATGATGAAATACTTAAGAAGTGACGAAGTAAAGCTTTCAGAGAGAGCGACGCTCACAGTTAGTCTGGTGAGAAAGATCGAAAGGAGAACACACAGGGGACTTGCTGTGCCTATCAAGATGGACGCAGAAGAAGAAAAAGAAAACCGAACCCAAAACCCATCGTACATATATAAAAAATGTATATTAACATTCAAAATTTTAAAAGAGCACTTCTTAAAATCCAAATATAATTAAAAAAGATGCTAGTAATTCTACAGAAACTGTGTGTAGCTAAAACATAGTTTCGACTTGTAATTGTGATTGTAAAAATAAGAACCATCGGCAAACTCTTGATAATACCCGTTACTCGTAGGTTAAAAAAGTATACTAGATTCGTTGAAAAGTACGTATCAGGCAGAAGGAAGAGTTTCCGACCATATAAAGTATACACGTGTATATATTCTTGATCAGTAGTGGAGTCGATCCGGCCATGTCCGCCTGTCCGTCCATATGAACGTGGAAATTTCAGGAAATGCAAACTCCAGAGACATAGACGCAGCGCAACGTTATTATATGATGATGCCACTCTCACCTTAACGCCACTTAACTGCCACTCCCACACTTTTGAAAAATGATGTCCTATTTTTTAATTTTTTTTTATCAATATTGTAAATTTCTATCGATTTGCAAAGGAACTTATTGCCACGCCCAATCTAACGCGCACAAATCACCCAAAACTATCACGCCCACACTTTTAAATAAGTGTAACATTTATTTTTATTGTTTTTCGCAATTTCTACCGATATTCCAGAAAATTATGAAATTTCTCGTTCGCACTAGCGGAGTAACGGGTATCTGATAGTCGGGGAACTCAACTATAGCATTCTCTCTTCTTTGTTAATATTACTTACACAATTTGGAAAAACATTGTATTAAGAAACTCGATTTTAAAGGTAAGCTTTCAAACCTCCCAGAGTTTATATTCATTGGATTGGATTCGAAAGAGTCGAGGTACGTCCATATACTCCACTTCCAATGCGCTGTAACTGCTGCAAAGTTCTGCAAGAACGCATCTACATAATTGCAGCCTTAAAATTCATTACAGAAGGAGAAACATGTACTAATAAGACGAACTGCAATGATAGCCATCTAACGGATTACGAACATCACGCTCGAAACAGACAGGGTTTTCTGTTCAGCAAGAAAGTTCAGGCAATAAAGATATTTCAGTCAGTAGATAACTTTACAGCCTGGTCCATCTAAAACAAACGTCGTTACGATAGCTCCCTATAATGATCGACTGTTGAATTAACCTGCAATTATACGAGTATGTACGCCAGCCACAACCATCCACTGGCTCCCAAATCCCTTAAGAAACCAGTCAATGTGATGTTAATACTACAGAAAGAAATGAGCTTTGCTTTTCCGTTGAAAAGTATGTGACAGGAAGAGTTTCCGACCCTTGAAGTACACTAATAGAAAAAGTGCACTCAAAAAGTCAGGACAACGCATCTTAAAGGCAACGCTACGGATCATAAATGCAAAACAACGCGCCATGAAATTTTTTCTTTCGCAATTTAAGCTTGATTTTATAAAATTACGGGAAATTTTTTCGTTGGCACCTACCCTGAAATTAAGGGCGAATTACCATGTATTTTCGTCGATCTTTCGGGAATTTTATTTGTGCATTAATTGTTGTGAAGACAAGAACATTACAACAGACGTAGACGATTTTTTTGAAAGAAATGGGAGACAAAGCCTTACTTAAGATTTTTTATGGTAAGTACATTCATTTAATTTTGTGTTTATCAATACGTAAGGTTATTTTTGTGAAAATAATAGAATATTACATATAATAATTTAAGGCTTCATATTCGTTCCCTTTAGAACAACAATTTTGCGTCTTAACGCTTAAATCGTTGAAGTCGGACTAGCTACGATGAATAATTCGCTTAGAGCTTGTTGGAGAAGTTGTCGAGTTTTTCCACCGGATGGAAAAATGGGAAAATTATATAAGTTATATCATTATGTCTGTTTTTTTTCCTTATATTCGTACAATTTCATCGCACATATGTATTTATGTATGCTTATGTATCATCGTCCGCCTTTGCAGCCCCCCTTAATAATAACACAAATATTAAATAATAAAATGTATATTAAGTCCAAGTATTATTTATTTATTTATAAAATTAAATTTAATAAAAATATATACAAAAAAATACATCTAATAAAAATATAAAAAAAAAAATTGATCTTTTTATTTGGGAAAAATTTTTTATAATATTTAATATTTTAAATATTAATTTAAAAAAAATTGCCTTTAATTTTAGAAAATGGTGACATTTTTTTTTAAATTGAGGGCAAGTTGGTAATGGCTACCTATAAAAAAGCAGCAGTACTGTAGTTTTTGTTTTTGATGACCATGCGGCAATTTTCAGAGTTCCCGTGACTTCTTCTGAATCCGAATTCGTATTCAGGAATAATGGAAAGTTCGTCCAAAGTTAACAACATACTCTTTAATAGTAAAATATGAAGGATTTTATTAACATATTCCCGAAAAACAGAATGCTTATGCCAAGTTTCCAAGCATGTTTTTCTTTTCCTTGTTGAAAAAAAAACAGTTGATATCAGAGCTTTTGTGTGTTGAGGGCCGAACGTCACCAGTCTTTACCACGTTAAGAAGTGTTTTTGATTGGTATCAGAAGTTTTTAAAGAAAATATATAAAAACTTATTAGTGTACCTTACTATCCTTACTCATCCTCATATTAAAAAAATTTACACTCAGAGAAAAAACCATTCCCAACATTCTCTATTTTCGATCTCAAAATCTAGCCAAGACGGATCATGTTCAGACCGAGATCGAACAATTCTCATGTTGCAAATGATTATCGATAATTCTTATCTATATTGAGAAAATATATTTTCGCTATATTTTTCGAGAAAAACCGATATCGGTATCGAGAAGAATCGATCTCGGTATCGGCAAGATCAGAACTAATTATCGAGAAGAATCGATCTCGCTTTCGAGACATATCCAAAAAAATGCATTTTACTTTACATAAATAGTACATTCTTTTTATATCTTAGAACATATCACGTTAGGTTAATAATTAGTATTAAATAAATAATTATACTATAATTAAACAAAAATTTAATACTCAGCAAAAAAAAGAATCGCTTTACTGTTCAACTTAAATTAATTTTAATAAATTTAAAACAAACTTTGTTAAGTACATACCCAGGTGAGGTTGCTTATGCATCTAGCGAGGTTGGGTTAACTTTGGATGGAGATTTCTTCTTAAAACCTTATGCAACAATAAAAATTTATTTAATTAATTTTTTTTTTTTGTCGTAAATAATTTTACCTACATTAGGATTTTAAGTAGACGGGCTTTCGTCTCGCCAAAAGCTTTGGTCGTCTAAATGACCAAAGCCATACGAGCAGCTGTTAACTGCAGCATACCACAAACAAAAATAATTATTCAGAAAGCCAAGATGCCATGGTGGATCTCTGAGTTTCAACAGCTCAAAGACCAAAAACAAGGATAATACTCTTTAGTTAAACAATCTGCAAACAATTAAAAATTTCCCCAAAAAAAAAAAAATGCCCAAATTATAATTAATTATAACTTATTTAGACCTGTTATTAACAAATTTCTATGCTTTCAGAGGACACAATATTACCTTTCTAAGTGGATTTCCTGCTGATTTCAACATTGAAGGACTGCATGAGATAACACCAGCCGGCCTAGTTGAATATATCCACAACTATACCAATTGGGATCTTTTGGGCTCACGAATGGCTGGAGAAATGCCCATTAAGCCCTGGGATGGCCTGCGATACGCTTTTGAAGTAAGTTCGAAATTTAAACTGATTTTAGAGTATCAGGAATATAAAGAAGTGAATCGACCCTTTGCAAAATGATTATATTGATTAAAACTCCCTTTTATAGTATTACTGATAGCAAAATTCTAAACTTTACCTGCACAGTTTCTCAAAATAAAGGCCCTTCGGTTGTTACGACTGAACATTTTAACGGCTTGCATACATATTAATTTCGACTGACGGTTAAAGTCAAAAACATTAAGATTCCGTGTATCTCTGGGATGTAAGAGATTCACTCTTTTGATATTCGTCTCTCAGATCTGCAGAATTGCAGCTTTTTTTGTCCTCTTCATGTCGGTGAATTCATACTCGAAAATTAATGAATAAATTATAATTCAACTATGTATATTGCAGACATAGGGCATTATATTCTGATTTTTTTTTTGTTATGTAGGTATATTAGTGCCCTTGCATAAGATCGCCGTATTTGGGTCGTGGGATCGAGAATAAATATTAAAAGTGCCTTGATCGTAAAACTATCGAACTGTGTTTTGGACACATTACCTTCCCTTCACACATTCGTGTCCCAAATTGATCGATGAATCATATGATACTCGCTGTTGAAGAGTTTATTAAAAAGTTGATGTAAAATTCTAAGTGGTATTACGAAATTAGAATAATAATATTCCAATATTTTGTGACCCAAATTTCGATATGATTCTCTCTGTTATCCTCCTTTTATTAAGACTTAGAGTCAACAGAGCACTAGCTCTATCGATTTATAGGTCTAGTCGACTCTGGCTCTAGTGATCCAGCTTATTGTCTCTCATGATCCAGGCTAGATTCCCTTTTATAGCGAGCCAAGGTATTTAATACCGGATTAGAACGTTTAGTCATTTGGTTGGGTTGGGTAAGTAATCCTACCTATGAGTAATGGTTCACTATGTCCCCTATTACCGGAGTAGAATTTCCATATAAGCGATTGTGGCCGTTGGACTGGCTATTTGGCAATTATTAATTGCCAAACTGCATTCAGTCTGCATATCAGTCAAACTTACCAAACGATTTCCACCCTTCCCTTTGCTTACAGATTTTTTGCCCCTGTATGTGCGAATCTTTTAAGTCTTTCGATCACATAAAGATAACTGTTAAACACGTAACTGTTTTTAATAAAACTTTTTTCGCTAGCTTATCTTGACTAAAAGCCAAATGCATCGGTAACGCGAAGAACTTTAAAAAGGGGATCTGCGAGTGTGCAGAAGCGGTATAACTCCCACCGGCAAGCCTGCACTTAACACCCACACCCTCCCAATCCAAACTACACGTCGCGGCGGATAGAAAGTGGGCGGCTATGTGGCCGAGGTCAGTGCCATAGTGACTGGTAGAATTGCACCCTGACAGCGTGTCAGAAGGTATAAAATGCACATATGCAAGGAATATCGACGAGAAACTGACAGAGTAGTAGGGAAATCTGGTGCTCTCCGATCTCTATGGATTATAGCGTTACCAGTCCGGGGTTACCGGAGAATGGACAGTCCGGACAAGCCTAAGCAGTCAAGTAACCCGAACAGTGTGCAGATGAAGGCGATGTTTTCTAGAATGAGCTTTCAATGCAGCTAGAGCGGCTGAAGACATGGGGCCAACGCAGTTAATTAATGTAATATAGAAAGTGCTCTGAATAAAAGGCTATATAGGGCGACAATAGAACTACCAGAACTACCAGGTCTTACCTAGAACTACCCTGAGAGATCTGCAAAATTTATTCTTCAGCAGCTAACTCACCAGGTTTGGCCATTTCGACGACCGGTTCAGTAGCGTCCGGACCTTTGTGACCAAACAAGCTACTTGGCTGGGGTGGTAATAAGGCGGCTAAGCATTTCCATGACCTCCAAGCCGGCGCCTGACCCTTAAACAACTCCTAACCCTTCATACTACCCTTACCCTCTTACTTTTTAATAATTACCCCTTTCTCCTTTCTTCAATGTAAATACTCATTTTCTTTAAGGAGCTTGGTTGTTGGATTATTAAGAGAAAGGTGTCGTCAATAACACCCCAAACCATAACTTTTAAAGTAGTTATCTATCAGATGTTCTTCCAAAGGAAAATTCAAATGAATATGTTATTAGATGAACGTTTTAAATTTTTTGCTCTCAGATATGCTTGGGAATTGTTTTTTATCTAAGCCGATATTTTTAGATACAAATTGTTTTTAAAGCTTTCTTAATCATCATGATTTCATTTTAGGAGGAAATTAGTAACAAATTTTTTAAACTTATAAATTTTGAATTTGTTTAACCACTATTTTGACATTTACTTTATTTAAAACTGTAATTTATATATTATTAAGACTATATATAATAGCTATATATAGGACTTTATAACCACTGTTAACGGTAGAGTCCCAGATATCTGTTGGAAAGAAGGTTCTTATTTCTGTTGATGTACGTTAAGGTTCCATTGACATTTTATGTCACTCTTAGTCTTTTGCTTTTAGAGCTATGAATTTGTTTTATATAGAACCTACTCCGGTTAAACGGTTGACGTTAAGTGTCACTGACAATTTTTTGTGACATTTAGATAGGTTAAGTTGCATTGCAGCGCTGTCAGCAGCGGAGCGGCATTATTATGTAAAACTTATATATATCTATGTAATTATGTTAAATTTATATGTATTTAAGAAGTATAAACGTGTAAAACGTGTTTAAGGTGCCCATGTATATATCAGCGGTTGGTCAACGTGGGAATGCTGACTCCGCGTTTAAGCCGTTCCGATGAGCTCATGTTCCCCGTGCACTTGAATATGCCTTTGTATGGAAATACTGCAACAGAGTGTCACTGTGTTATAAGGTATTTAATTACAGCTTATAGCTTAAAGTTAAAAATAAAAAAATCATCTCTCGCAATTTTGGCATCGTGATATTGTGGCACAGGGAGTAAGTACCACAAAGCAGCGTCCTTGGAGTCATCCTCTATACCGCAGACCTTCACACCATTCCCTCCAGGAATTTAACTATTGCCACATTCGCTGACGACACCACATTCCTTGCCACCGCCTCTGACCCCGAAGAAACCTTAACCAACTGGATGTAATAAATAATGTAATAAGTAATAACGCTGGAATATCCGAGTGAATAAGGGAGGGGTTATTAATGGAGGCTGACTACTTTTAGTTTCAAATGTGCCTTCTTGGATTCTATATGCTTGCACCAGATGAGCCGCCTATTTAAGTGGATTCCCAGATATGTTACCTCTTTAGCTTGCGGGATGCATGTGGTGTTCAGGACTATGGGCGGGCAGGTTCGTTTGTTAAGTGGGTAACAGCTTTGCTATTTTGTAAATGAGTCCGTCCAGCCAGACTCGATCGATTGCTTGTGTAACATCCAGAAGGGTTGCCGAGAAGTATTCGCGCTGTTCAAATGCAGTACGAATTTCTGAAGTGAACCGATTGACCTGTTCAATTGTTCCATGATTCTCCCTAAAGCCTAATTAATGTGATAGGATTTCATTACATGCAGGATAAATACTTTTTCAAACAGCCTTGTAAAATATGTCAGAAGACTTGTTGGTCTATATGACGATGGTTGCGTTTTGTCTGGAATGGACCTTTTCCACCTTTGAGGAATAGAAAGTTTGCAAATAATCAGTATTACACATAGTGGTAGCGCAATTATCATTTTATGGGTTATCAGGTCATTTTCTGGCGTATGACTTCAATAATTTCGTTTGACTTAAATCTAATTGGCTCCAAAGATGGATAGATGCCAGTTGACGAAAGAAGAATAAATCAGTTGGTAACTGGATTCGGCTAGAATACTTTTTTTAGGTGTTTAGCAAACGCACTGTCTCTTTCTTTATCGTTACGTGGCCAGTTTTCAATAGGGCCTGGCAGAGGTAAACCAGTTTTGGTTAGTACCCGAAGATTTTGGAGAGCTCTCAGTAGATGCTTAGTACTAGTGGGCGGCAGTTTTTCACTGTACCGAAATTGGGAATTTTCTTGCTCTACCTTTAAAGCTTTGGTAAGTCTGTGTGGCTATCTGTAAGCTGTTTCTGGTGTTTGGCGATCTGTGATGCTTTTCCTCTTTTTGTTATCGTAATTTTTCAAGCACCAGCTGTTCAATTTCCTGGTTGTTTCTGTTGTGGTTAGATAAAAGGTGGTGTTAAGGCCTTTTCAGCGTCAACTAGTGCTGAGTAAAATGTACTAGCCCATTTATTAATATCAGCATTAAGCAAATAATGGAATAGAAATTCCTCTAGACGGTTCTTATGTCGTGTCCTGGAAAAGGACTAGGGCCGAGGGAGAGGCATCCGTTGTTCAGGCAACAGGTTGCCAGCGTAAGCTCGTCGTATTTGGTCGTGGGATCTTGGTAAGCCTCTCTTACCTCTTGCCCCCTTACCTCTTGGTAAGTCACCACTCCAACATAACGAGAATAAATATTTGAAGTGCCTGTAAAAATAATTACAGTTCGTCAATAAGTTCATAATAAGTTAGGAATAAGTTTAAATTAAGTTAAGAAAGTTCGTCAGTCAGCAGTCCTCACTGCCCCACAAGCTTAGTTATAAGCTTGATCGTAAAACGATCCGTGTGTCAAGTGGAACGTCACTGGCCGCGCAATATGATCCCATTTTTGATCCCCATCATTTCTGACCTACCCCACCTCTCGCCACAGCCCCGCTTGTGAAAATGTTTACCTACTCATTTAGTTGTAGTTAATTTAATAGCATATCATTATTAATTAATATATTGCTGACTATTACCACGAGTAATATAAGAATTAACGGCTAGTATACAAATACTCTAAAAAGTTGACAATAATTGTCAGCGCAGACAACAAACGTCACTCTGAGGGCTCTTGTCTTTGCATATCAAAAATATTGCCGCTGAGAAGTTATATTTGATTTCTATATTAAACATTAAACATCTAAATTTAATCCATGAGATATATTGCCTTGGACAATATATGTATATATAAAAGATATATAAAAAACATACTGGAACTATGTTCTATGATATAAAGAACTGTGGGTCG